TTTTTCTAGGCAGGTGAGAAGGTAATGACAGCTTTGAACACTGCAGGATGCCAACTAACTGGAAAGACATTTTAAAGGTGGCAAGTTTATTGTCACCACTCAGCTCTCTCTCTAGATATATAAACAGGATAAAGTTTCCTCTACGAGAAAGTTTAAAATCCCGCTGTTTCCTTAAATTCTGCTGTTCCCAGAAAAGTTACCTTTCTCAAAAAGGTGAAACTGACGTCTTATAAAATAAGCAATTCCATTGTCGTCGTCTTCTTCTTCTTCTTCTTCTTCTTCTTCTTCTTCTTCTTCTTCTTCTTCTTCATCTTCTTCTCTTCTTCTTCTTCTTCTTCTTCTTCTTCTTCTTCTTCTTCTCTTCTTCTTCTCCTCCTCCTCCTCCTCCTCCTCCTCCTCCTCCTCCTCCTCCTTCTCCTCCTTCTCCTTCTTCATCATCATCATCTTGCGTAGCTTCTTCTCTGGTAATATTGAACTGCAAACTAGGGCATACAAAACCTTTGCCAGACCAATTCTTGAATACAGCTCATCTGTCTGGAACCCGCACTGAATATCGGACATTAATACAATCGAACGAGTCCATAGATATTTCACGAGAAGAGTCCTCCACTCCTCTGCTCGCAACAAAATACCTTATGCCACCAGACTCGAAATTTTGGGCTCAGACGACTTAGAACTTCGCCGTTTTCGGTCTGACCTAAGCATAGTATATAAAATCATATTTATTCGTATCCTTTACATGTATATATAATTATGCTTACACTTGTATCAGTCATAAAATACATGCTTGATGAAAATAAATCAGTAAAAAAGAAATAAAAATAAATAGTCCTCCATCAGGCAGCCAGTCACTGTTAGATCTGCAAAAAGTCAAGGACTTACAGCTGGCTGCAACTGAGCTCCACATTTCTGTGGCTAAGCGAGACGGTTGCTCCATTTGCCCCATTTTGTGACTGTCCTGGTCACTGTTGTTAAATGAACCGTGGCAAGTTGTTAAAGTTAGCAAAACAGATGTTAAGGGAATCTTGGCTTCCCCGTTCACTTTGCTGATGGGTGTTTTCAGCAGGGCATCTTCACAACTGGATTCTAGTCTGCAAAAGCTTCTGAGCCGTGGTGGCGTGATGGTTAGAGTGCAGTACTTCAGGCTACTTCTGCTGACTGATGGCTGCCTGTAGTTTGGCAGTTCGAATCTCACCAGGCTCAAGGTTGACTCAGCCTTCCATCCTTCCGAGTTGAGTAAAATGAGGACCCAGACTGTTGGGGGCAAGAGGCTGATTCTGTAAACTGCTTAGAGAGGGCTGGAAAGGGGTATATAAGTCTAAGTGCTATTGCTATTGCTACAGGTAGCCCTTGACTTACAACAGTTCATTTAGTGACCATTCAAAGTTATGACAGCACTGGGAAAAAAACGAATTTATGGCTGCTCTTTCACACTTACGACTGTTGTAACATCCCCATGATCACTCTCCTAAACAAATAACTCCCTCAACATGTCAAACTATTTACTAAGTCTGCACTACTATTAATCTTCTCATCGTTCCCATCACCCATCTCCTTCCACTTATGACTGCATGACTGTAACTTTGTTGCTTGTATCCTTACAATTTATATTGATATTGTTTCCTGATTGCTTATTTGTACCCTATTACTATCATTAAGTGTTGTACCTTATGATTCTTGACGAACGTATCTTTTCTTTTTATGTACACTGAGAGCGTATGCACCAAGACAAATTCCTCGTGTGCCCAATCACACCTGGCCAATAAAAAATTCCATTCCATTCCATGCTCAAAATTTAGTCAAATGGTCTGCTTTATGTCAATTATCTGGAGTGTTTTGGGACAGTTGACTTTGGGGTGAAGACCGATGTAAAACGTTGTCCATTCCATGCAAAGTTTGCTGAACGAAAGTGTGTTTATTGTCTTCCTTACATAATGCCTTCCCTTCCCATCACAAGCGATAAAGAAATTCCATCTGGTTTAAAAGCATCCCCAAAAGGATGATTTTCTGCACACACATACACAAAATCCCCAAGCCATAATCATTTTAACGGTTTGACCTTACTTAGATGAGACAGAGCAGTAAAATCAAAACTACTCAATTCAAACTTTGGATCCCTTCCACTCTCTGAGTCATGCAAAAAAAAAAAAAAAAAAGCAGAGATTTATGGCAAGTAATTAGCCAAAGAAAATAGCTTAAACTTTGCCACACGAACTTATCAGGAACTTGCCTCATCTACAATTATGTTTTTTAAAAAGCTATTTTACCCCCTTACGGATTTTCTGCATTTTTGCATATTATTATCACTTTTTTTATGAGAGCTTCCTCTGAGTCTCCTCTTCCCTTAATAAAGAGAATCTGAGTGAACAAACACCTTTAAAATTTGAAAGTGGGTTCAAATTGTTCGCAAAATAATCCGGTCTCTGATGTGATGTCCAGTGTAAAACTAATACAGATAATCCTTAGATTAACAATCACAAATTCAGGAGTGAAATGCTCCTGGTTCGGACCGGATCGCCCGATCTGGTAGCGATGGTGGCGGGTGGTTCGGAGAACCGGTAGCAAAAATCCTTGCGCCCCCCCCCCATGCCCAGCTGAGCTGCACGATCATCAGAGGGTTTTTTAAAAGACAGTATAAAACCACATTAAATAATTTGGCCCGAGACAAATTAAAAACACCCCCAATGGTTAAGACAAATTTAAAATTTACAATTTAAAAAGGGAAATAAAAATTATTTTTTTAAAAAAAGAAACTATAATTTCTTTACTGAGGTTCTCCCTCATTCAGCAGATTTTACATGTTATCAATAAAGTCTCCTTTTGTTACTCCATAATCCCTTAATTTGGGGGTAGATTCGGAGTGACTAGATGAAGCTGAGCATTTACTGGCCGGATGCCCTTCCTGATGCCTACATGGGGTTCACAGCAGATATTTTCTCTTTGCGCCCTAGGAGAAAAATATCTACTCATCCTAAGATTGAACTCTCAACCTTCTGAGTGGGAAGCGAGTGTCTTCACACAGGCCACCGCCGCATTCATCTATATATTATTAATTTATTTAATTGCCTTTATTTAAATATAAATATTCCGAATGAATAAACTCTTCTTTTCTTGGCTTAGGACTCGAAGCTCTGAGGCCGCTTTTCAAATTACATATTTCACAGCTTCTGCTTTGTTACCAAAGATCTACTGTCCTTCTTGCTTAATCCTCCTAGGATGTCTTTGATCTATTCCAGAATGGCAAATACAGTTTCCTTAACAATCTGAAAATCAACGCAAAAAGGTAACAATTCACCAATGGGGATGTAGTTTTTAATGACAAAGCACTTCCACGTTTCAAAAACTGCAGCTTAGCCACGCAGCTCCCTAAAATGACCCAAAATCATTTGGACGTCAAGACTTATTATGGCCTTTGACGGCAGTTGGAGGATGGAAGACGCCTTCAATATTCTTGGGTTAAGTCTCCAACGCTTTCCATACCGAAATTGCCAGTTGAAATGCTTCAACGACGATATGTAATCTCTACATTTTGGACCGCTCGAGCACCGCAGAGACACACGAAAGAAACAACAAAAATAAATCCTTTACTGCCAGAATTTCCCAGTTCAAACGTTGCCTTAACCTCTAAAGTCAACAACGAAAGTGAAAATCATTTTGGACACTACCAACCAACCTCGGTTGCATTATCCAGACAGCCAGCAGAGGGCAGCAGAAAGACCTTGGAGGGAGATGTTAAGACTTTTGCTGGCTCATAGCGGTCCCGGGGATTTTAACATCTCCTTTTTTTTTTTTTTTTGACATCTCATTTTTTTTTATTTTTTTTTTGAAGGCCGTCTGAAAGGGGGCCTTGTTTGGAGAGATCCCAAAACCAGAGTCAAAAAACACGCAGCATTGCAACCGCCTGCAAGATTGTGCAATGCAGCTTCTCTTGGGGGGAAGCCTGCCCCGCATACGACGCAAATCCGGGCTGGCGTGGGGGGAGAAGCCCATTCAATGAAGCTCCGCCTCTACCCCCCCTTCTCCCCAACCGAGAGCTACCTTAGGAGTTAACTACCACCATCCTTGCAAACTACTAGTAACGAATGGGTGGGTTTCTACTAATCCAGGTGGTTGCGTTTTCGTTGCCAAGTTCCAAATTCCTACCTCTAGGTCGTTTGGCTTTGAAGCCCCCACTTTTTTTTTTTAAATTGAAGCATATTCCAACTTGGTGCACCCCCTCCCCTTTTTGGGGGGAGAGTTTGTCAGCCCCCCCGTACCCCCCGCGTTAAAAGCAAAAGACAAGTTCCCTGCAGGAATCCCCTCCCGTTCAGACAGCAGCCCAAGTCAGCCTCGGTGCCCCCCAAATCAAGCCCGCGCGCAGAGCAATCCTACACAGATTTCCCCCCCCCACTTTCTAGCTTGGCATTCCCTTGCGGGAAATCCTCCAAAGGTGATAACCTCCCCGGCCGGCGCACACCCCACAAAAAAAAAGCCACCTCTACCCCCCATCCAAAAAAAAAAGTTCAGCGGAGTTTTTTTTTAAAAATCCTCCCCTACCGGTTCGCCGGCAAACCCCTCCAAAAAAAAAAAAAAAAAAAAACCCAGGGGGGGAAAAAAATGCGCAGCAAAGCAGAGCGCTCTGCACGCGCTCAGAGGCCAAGGGCCCAGGGACAGAGGGGGGAGTGGGCGGAGGGGAAAGGAGGAGAGGAGCTCCCTCTCACCCGGTTCAGCTTGCTTTCTCCCTCCCAGCACCACCGCCGTCCCGCCAGACCCAGAGACCCCCCCAGCTGTTCCCGTGCTGGTCCGCTGGATGTTCTCCAGGTCCAGCTCAGCTGATGCTCCTGACGCAGTCCGGTGTCTGGGAAAGTCTCAAAGTTGCTCTCCTGTGGCTAAGAGACCCCCCACCACCACCACCAGAAGACCCCTGGGCTGCAGAGGTGAAAGTGGGATAGGGACCCCCCTCTCCTGCCCCCCCCCCCCCCCCCCCCCCCCCCCCCCCCCCCCCCCGGGCCGGGCCTTACCTTGCTTGACACACTTCAGCCGGATGGGGTCTTTGCAATGCTTAATGACGGCCAAGACATCCCGGATGGTGAGCCCAGCTACGGGGGTCTCGTTCACCTCCAGCAGCAGCTCCTCGGGCACCAACTTCCCGCCGCTCTCGTACACCACCTTGCCGGCTTTTACCTCCCCCAGGTAGGGGAACTGCCCGTTCTCGGCTCCCCCTTTGAGCTCGAAGCCCAGCTGACCCTCGGCGTTCCTCACCACGGCGCATTCGTGGACCCGGTTAGTCCAGTGGCTTTTCTTCTTCGAGCCCCCCTTGGACATCGCCGTGGGGCTGGGGGACCGGGGGTGGGGGGGAGACGAGAGGCGCGCCGGCTCGCTTTCCCTCCCGGCCTCGGGGTGTCCTTGGAGTTCCCTTCGGCGGGGAAGGGGAGGGGGGAGGGAGGGAGGAAGGAAGGAGGGAAGAAGGAGGGAAAGAGGAGGAGGAAAGAGAGGAGGAGGCAAGAGGACGGCTCGGTGGGGCGGGGCTGCTCTGCTCTTTCCCCCCCGCCTTGAGTCTGGCTGGAAAGGAGGGAGGGATGGAGGGGAGAGGAGGAGAGGAACAGAGATGGGGGGAAGGAAGGAAGGAAGGAGGAAGGGAGAGGAAAGAAGGAAGGAAGGAAGGAGGGGAGAGGAAGGAAGGAAAGAAGGAAGGAAGGAAGGAAGGAAGGAAGGAAAGAGGAGGAGGAGGAAGAGAGGAGGAGGCAAGAGGAGGGGTCGGTGGTCTGCTCTTCCCCCGCCTTGAGTCTGGCTGGAAAGGAGGGAGAGAGGGAAGGATGGAGGGGAGAGGAGGAGAGGAGCAGGGATGGGGGGAAGGAAGGAAGGAAGGAAAGAGGAGGAGGAAGAAGAGAGGAGGAGGCAAGAGGAGGGTCGTGGTCTGCTCTTCCCCCCGCCTTGAGTCTGGCTGGAAAGGAGGGAGAGAGGGAAGGATGGAGGGGAGAGGAGGAGAGGAGCAGGGATGGGGGGAAGGAAGGAAGGAAGGAAAGAGGAGGAGGAGGAAGAGAGGAGGAGGCAAGAGGAGGGGTCGGTGGTCTGCTCTTCCCCCGCCTTGAGTCTGGCTGGAAAGGAGGGAGAGAGGGAAGGATGGAGGGGAGAGGAGGAAAGGAACAGGATGGGGGGAGGAAGGAAGGAAGGAAGGAAGGAACAAGGAAGGAAGGAAGGAAGGAAGGAAGGAAAAGGAAGGAAGGAAGGAAGGGGGGGGAGAGGAGAGGCCGGTTCCCCTCGGTCTCTTGCTCTAGCGGCGGCCGAGGCGGGAGCCGCAAGCCATGGCAGCGGCCCCCGCTGCAGCCCCCCACTTCCACCGCTGCAGCTCGGATGCTGGGATGCTGGCTGGGCGTCTATTCCTTTCCCTCTCTCTTTCTTTCGGTCTGCCTGTCTGCCAGCCAGCAAGACTAGTTGTACGGTAAGTGTGGGGCGGTGGGTGGGTGGGCTGGCTGTGCACGCCTGGACCGGAGGCGGGGGGCGAGCCTGGGCTGGCTGCCTTGGCTGAGCCGGGGCTCTCCGCCGCGCTGACCCGGTAGTGAAGACCGGAGCGCGAGAGAGAGAGAGAAAGAGAGAGAGAGAGAGAGAGAGAGGGAGGGAGGGAGGGGAAAAGGAGGCTGGCTCGCCTGGCAGAAGCCACAAACGGGGAGGCGAGAAAGAAGGCGGAGAGCGCAGCCAGCGGTGGGTGGGGAGGGAGGGAGGGAGGGAAGGAAGGAAGGAAGGAGGGAGGAGGAGGAGGAGAAGGAGAAGAAGAAGAAGGAGCCGGCGCCACGGCGGGGACGCGCGCTTGGGACCCTCACCCCTTAAACAAAGTGGGAGCGGGGACGATGGGGGGAGAAGGGTAGATCCGACTTTCTCCCCCCCTCCTGCCCTCCTCGTCGCCCCCTCCCCTCTTTTCCTCCTCCCCCAACACAGCCCTGGGAAAGGGAGGGGGGTCTCCTTGGGATGGGGGGGTCTGCCGTCGGTCCAGCTGGAAGGAAATGCTCTTCAAAGGGAGGGGGGAAAAAGGAAGCCCCTTTCTCCAGCCCTTTCACTTTCTCTGGCTTTCTGGGATTGCATAAAAGAATTTTTTTTTTAAAAAAAAAGAAAGAAAATAAATCAACCCAAGCCTCTTTTAAACCCAGCAAACAGTGATGGGATTCAAGGAATTTAACCAACCGGTTCTCTGCCCTAATGATTTCTTCCGACAACCAGTTTGCCAAACTGCTCAGAAAGTTCACAACCGGTTCTCCCGGAGTGGTACGAACCGGCTGAATCCCACACTGCCAGCAAAGCCTCATCGGGGAAGTTCCTCTTGCCCCTCTCGCCACCATCCTCTCTCTTTTTCTCTCTCTGCTCCGGACGTCCCATCTGGGTCAGGCTGGAGTTCCCTTGTTTTTTGGGGGGGGGAGGCTTTCTGGGGAAAGAGAGAAGAGCCCCCAGGCCTTGAAAGGAAGGAGCCTTGGTAGTACAGTGGTCTAAAGCACCCTGTTATTAAGACCAGCTGCCTGCAATTACTGCAGGTTCGAATCTCCCCAGGCTCAAGGTTGACTCAGCCTTCCATCCTTTCTAAGGTAGGTGAAATGAGGACCCAGATTGTGGGGGCAATAAGCTGACTTTGTATAAAATATACAAAAGGATGAAGGCTATTGCTTAGCACATTGTAAGCCACTCTGAGTCTCCGGAGAAGGGCGGCATATAAATCAAATTAAAAAAAAAAAAAAGGAGAAACCTCCCTTTCACTTCTAGAAAGGGGGGTGGGTTTCCCCCAAAGGGAAAGGCAGGCCACCCCCACCCCTCCAAGAGCAGAGAATAGGTGAGGAAGAAAAGTGGAAGCTTCGGGGGAGGGGGAAACCTCCGAATCAAAGCAGCCCCTCTTTGGGGAAAGGAGTTTCCTTTTCTTGGTCTTGGAAGGGATCTACCCATCCTCCAATCAGGTTTGGGGGACTAGGATGGTAAGAAGATTGGGATCAATGGAGATTCTCAGTCATTCAGATCACGGGGTTTTTTTTGTTTATTTTCTTTTTGTTTATTTTCTTTTTTAAATTTGATTTATATGCCGCCCTTCTCCGGAGACTCAGGGCGGCTTACAGTGTGTTAAGCAATAGCCTTCATACTTTTGTATATTTTATACAAAGTCAGCTTATTGCCCCCACAAACTGGGTCCGCATTTTACCTACCTTAGAAAGGATGGAAGGCTGAGTCACCTTGAGCCTGTGGGGAGATTTGAACTTGCAGTAATTGCAGGCAGCTGATGTTAATAACAGTGCTTTAGTCTGCTGCGCTACCAGGGCTCATGGTTGTCTCAAAGGTCCTTTTTTTTTTCAAGAGGCAACTGGACTTTCTGGTTTTTTTCTTTTGAAGATGTTTCCCTTCTCATCCAAGAAGCTTCTTCAGCTCTGATTGAATGGTGGGGAAGGAAGGATTGATACTCCTTGCAGACAGCTGGTCATTTGCATCCTTTTAGAGGATCATTGAGGCCGCTTGGAGGTTTCTCTGTGTCCTCAGGGTCACCTGAGGGGTTACTCCTGGTTCCTGCAGTCTGCATTTTTTCCCTTTGGAAATCCGTTCCTACTCCCACACCATTCCAAGGATCTTCAACCCAAATTACCATGTTTCCCCGAAAATAAGACCCTGTCTTATATTTTTTTTTGAACTCTGAAATAAGCGCTTGGCCTTATTGCCATGCCCTCAAAAGCCCAATTAGGCTTATTATCAGGGGAATGTCTTATTTTGGGGGAAACAGGGTATATATTGTAACTAAAAGCCTGTAGAGATTCTCAGTCCTCCAAGTCATGGTTGTCCCAAAAATGCTTTTTCAGGAGGCAACTGGACTTTCTTTTTTTTTTCTTTTGAAGATGTTTCCCTTCTCATCCAAGAAGCTTCTTCAGCTCTGATTGAATGGTGGGGGAATGGAAGGATTGATACTCCTTGCAGACAGCTGGTCATTTGCATCCTTTTAGAGGATCGTTGAGGCCACTTGGAGGTTTTTCTGTGCCTTCAGAATCACCTGAGTGGTGCAAATGAGTGTGGAGCCTTCTTGGAACTGCTGAAAGGATTGCTTTGTAGACTGGAGATAGATAATATCGTGTCCCTCCCCCTCTGTTGAGGAGGGGGGCCTGTTCGATTTGGACATAGATGGCCTCTTTGACCCCCTCTTCCAAATCATTACTGTTTCCCTAAAACCCAAAGGCGCTTTGTTTCAGGAGGCAGCTGGATTTTCTGGTTTTTTCTTTTGAAGACGTTTCGCTTCTCATCCAAGAAGCTTCTTCGGCTCTGACTGGATGGTGGGGAAACGGAAGGATTTATACTCCTTGCAGACAGAACTGGTCATTTGCGTTCTTAATTTAGAGAGTCGTTGAGGCCACTTGGAGGTTTCTCCGTGTCCTCAGAGTCACTTTTCTATTTAGTGGTCTTTTATCTCGATGCATTTATTTATTTATTTATTTTTATTTAATGGTCTTTTATCTCGATGCATTTATTCATTTCATCCCATGGATACTCATGCGCCAAGCGACTCTGGACATTGGATAAATTTAAAAGCAGCCCAAGAAATGTGCATAATACAAATGCTGCGATATATAAAACAATTGCAAAAAAAAAAAAAAGGAAAATAACATATTTATTTATTTATTTATTTGACTTGATTTCTATACCGCCCTACTCCTGAAGGACTCAGGGCGGTGCACAGCCAAACAATAAAACACATACATACAAAATTTAAAAGTGGAATTAAAATCAAATTAAATAGTTTTGGCCCCGACAAATTAAAACCCCAATCAATTTAAAACCAATTTTAAAATTTGAATATATAAAATACTGAAAAAATATTAAAATATTAAAAATTAAAAATCTTTTAGGGAGAAAATTAGGCCAGGCCCGCCTGGTGAAATAAAAAAGTCTTTAAAGCGTGGCGGAAGGTGCGCAGAACATATAAACCACACACTATATTTCAATACAATAGTGGAATGATTGATCTCCCATAATATCTTCCTAATTAAGACGTACTATAGTCTCCAGG